GGCTGGTCTTGAACTCTTGGCCTCAAGCATTCCTCCCATCTTGGCCTCCCAAAGTGTTGGGATTATAGGGTTGTGAGCCACCGTGCTTGGCCTCGTAATATATTTTATCTAACCTTATATACCTAAGCCACTATCACATCAAATGTAACAGATATGAAAATTATTATTGTGTTTTTCTTGAGACAGAGTCTCAGTTTGTTGCCCAGGCTGGAGTGCAGTGGTGCAATCTTGGCTCACTGTAACTTCCACCTTCTGGGTTTAAGCAGTTATCCTGCTCGTGTAGCTGGGATTGCAGGTGTGTGCCACCTCACCCAGCTAATTTTTGTATTTTCAGTAGAGACGGCCCTTTCACCATGTTGGCCAGGCTGGTCTCAAACTCCTGACCTTAAGTGATCCTCCCGCCTTGGCCTTCCAAAGTGCTGGGATTACAGGTGTGATCCACCATGCCAAGCCAGATATGAAAATTATTAATGAACTATTTTATGTTCTTTTTTTCTTAATAAGACTTTCAAATCTGGTGTGTATTTTGTGCTTCTGCACTTCTCAGTTTGGGCTAGCCACATGTCAAGTGTTCTACAGCTATATTTGGCTAAAAGAATAGGGAGGAGGAGAAATAGAACTATTAAAGAAATGAGAAGTTTGGAGGGACAAGAGAAGAAGTTTTGGTCTTGAATTGTCTTAAAAAAATTATGAGACTTAGTGGGGAGTCTGGAGCAGTATGTTCAGGGGTCTGGTTGAAGGGTAGTCAGAGTAGATGAATATTCTCACAAACGTGAAGTAGATTCCAGGTAGACACAGGGAGAAAGATTTATGAGAATAACTCTGCTAATGAAGAAAGTAGATTTTAGTGGCACCTTAGAGTCTTGGTTACTAAGTCCTTGAAGAAGCAATTAAAGACAAGACTTTAAAAACCAAAAGTTTATTGTGCACATGCTGTTTCTAGGCTCTCAGCTAGGATGTAGGACACATCAGTGAACACAACAGATAAAAATCTCAGCCCTCACGTGTTTGTAATATAGTGGAGGGAAACACAGTAGGTAGGATAAATAAGTGAACTTACATTAAAAGGTGCTGAATGCTATGGAAAGTAAAATAGAGCCCTGTGATGGGGAGCATAATGGTGGTGGTGATGGTGGTGGGTTTGCAATTTTTAACAAGGCGGTCGGAGTACAACTCCCAAAGTGGTTATAGATTAACAAGGTCTTGAAGGAGTTAAGGCAACCAGTATTAAGATACCTGGGGAAGAGCATTTCAGACAGAGGGATAAGTATTGGCCGGCCTGGAGGTGGGCATGCACCTGCCATGCTCCTGCAGTGGTGAACAGGTCAGCTCAGTTAGTGGCAGGTGAGTTAGGAAATGTAGAAATGGGGTAGCAGATCACAAAAGAAGTGCTTCCCAAACTTTAATGTGCATACAAATTTCCTAGAGATCTTGTTAAATTTTGATTCTGATTTGGTAGATCTTGAGTTGGGTCAAAGATAACAAACCCTTAGGTGATACTGAAGTTACTGATCCTGGGACAACAGTTTGATTAGTAAGGATGTGTAGGGCCTTAAGGGCCGTGTACGACCATATAAATATGAAACTAGTTGAAATCACCAAAGGAATGAGGGTAGATAGAAAAGAAGAAAGGGCAAAGGGCTGAGCCATGGGGCACTCCAGCATTAAGAGGATGGCAAGATAGAGGAATCAGCAAAGAAGCCTAAGAAGGAGTGATCACAAACGAGAAGGAAACCCACAGGGCTCATGAATGTAAATGAATTTCAGGCAAGATCAGTCCGTATAGTTTTCTGTGTTTTCTCCAGGAAGCCAAGTAAAGTGTTTCATGGAGGCAGAAGTGATCAATCGTGTGAAATCTTGCTTGATAGATCAAGTAAGAGGAAAACTAAGACGATTATTGAGTTTGACAACATAGTGATTATTGACAAGCAGGTTGCTGGGTAGTGTGACAGCAAAAGCCCTACTGGAGTGAGTTTCAAAGAGAAAGGAGAGCAATCAACAGACAGTGAATAAAGAAAAGTTACTGAGGCATTTTTCTTTAAAGGTGGGTACGTTAGATATCTATTACTACATAACATTAAGCCGGGCATGGTGGCTCATGCCTGTAATCCCAGGAGGAGGCCAAAGCAGGCGGATCACTTGAGCTCAGGAGTTTGAGACCAGTCTGGCCAGACCTCACGTCTACTAAAATACAAAAAAAAATTTAGCTGAGTGTGGTGGTGCACACCTATAGTCTCAGCTACTCCAGGGGCTGAGGTGGGAACAATCACTTGAGCCTGGGACTCACTTGAGCCATTGCACTCTAGCCTGGGCAACAGAGCAAAACCTGTCTTCCAAAATGAAACAAAAACAAATTAAAACTTACAGTGACTTAAAACAGCAAAGATTTACTATTTCAGTTTCTGTGTGTCAGGAATTCAGGAGTGGCTTAGCTGGGTAATTCTGGCTCAGTGTTTTGTGAAGTTTTAGTCAATATGTTCGCCAGGGCTGCAGTCATCTGAAGGCTTCACCTGGGCTGGAAGACTCGCTTCTGAGATGGCTTACTTCATCCGGCTGTTGACAAGAGGTCTCAGTTTCTCATACACTTACACAGGCTTATTCTCCATAAGAGTGCTTTAAGTATCCTCCTAACAAGGCAGCCAGCTTCTTTCAGAGGGTGATCCAAGATACATAGAAGCTAGCACTTAGGGAAGTTAAATTTCGATACTTCTGCTCTATTCTGTTGATCACATGAACACAGTGTGGGAGGGGACTGCATAAGAACCTGAATACCAAGAGAGTGGAGGCCATTAGGGAGGCCGTCATGGAGGCTGGCTAACCCAGGGAGCAGGAAATTTGAGGGTAGCTGGAGAGGAAAGTGGGACCCCAGAGAGTTGTTTTTTTTTAATTGATGGAAATAACATATTTGTTTGTTGCACCAGTAACGACCCACTTTAGAAGGGAAAATTATTGATGCAGAATGGAGAGTAGAGAATTGCTGGAGAGTAATCATTGCTTCAGTGAGAGGGGATATGATATGGAGTGTAAGTGAAGGAATGGGGACTCGGCTTTGCACAGGGTGAGGGTAGTCCACTTAGAGTGGCAGGAGGGAAGGCAGTATGTGTGTCAAAAGATTCCTGTTACTTCAGTTTTCTCAGTGAAATGGAAAGCAAGGTCATTGAGAATGAGGATGAGAGAAGTGTCAGGTTTCAGGAGGGAAGAAGAGAAGTTATAGTCACCTAGGACAGTGGTGAGTGGTGAGTGGCAAGTGTACCAAGGAAATGCTGGTTTTGGGGATAGCATTAGTTACTCACACATTATGTCATGACCCATGACATTCAGGGTCATGAATTTACAGTAGGATCAGTCAGTATGGTCTTCTGTGTTTTAGTCTAGCCACATTCAGCTATACAAATGCAGGTGGGGAGTCAGTGAAGAGTTAGATTTAACCCGTGTATGGTTTATCCACACAGCAGTGTACTGGTAAACTGGCTCTCAAAAACGTCTCAGACACGAATTTCTGTGGTATAAGTACTCCCACCTTGCCAGTTTCAGGCTGTCAGAGGTTTCCTCAACCAGCTTGTGAGAAGCCTGAATATTGGACAGCTTGACTCTTGATAGTCCTTGATATGAACTCTCTAGCACACCACACACTTTAGAGCAGACTCTGTTTTCCTTAAAATATTGTGTACCGTTTGGGTATTTTAGAGCAGGGGTCTGCAATCCCTGGGCCACAGACCAGTACAAGTCTGTGGCCTGTTAGGAAGGTTAGTGGCGGTTGAGAGAGCATTACCAACTGAGCTCTGCCTTCTGTCAGATCAACGGTGGCATTAGATTCTCATAGAAGTGTGAACCTGTTGTGCACTGTGCATGCAAGGGATCCAGGCTCCGTGCTTCTTATGAGAATCTAATGTCTGATGATTTGAAGTGGGACAGTTTCATCACCTACACCCCACCTCCAGTTGTGGAAAAATTGTCTCCTGTGAAACCCATCCCTGGTGCCAAAAAGATTGAGGACTGCTGCTTCAGAGTTCTGTTAGTAATCCTCAGTTTTGCTTCTTTGTAACTCTTTACCTTATGGAACCTCAGTTTCTTTGTAAACGGAGACTATTAGCACCTGTTCCTTGGGTTGTTGTAAGGATTAGAGAATAGATAGAACAAGAGTTCCTGGAATGGCAGATACTGTTGTTATTATTATTGCCATCACCTAAATGTAAAGCTTTCTTACAAAGGAACTTAAGTTACCAGAGGATAATACCTGTATTTTCATATGCAAAGGCTGGAGTAGAGATTGGAGTTAACTTTTTAGAGAGCAATTGGGTAACACATACCACACATCTAAGAGCATGGGTTTAATCTAGTAATTTTACTTCTGGGAGCTTTTCCAAAGAAAATAACTAAGAATATGTGGGAAAACGAAGCAAGAAGATACTTGTTTGCAGCACTGTTTATAAGAGGAAAGGTGGAATCTACCTAAATGTTGTGCAACAGAAGACTTTACTTATTAGAAACAAATGGATAGAATGGAATTGAGTATGTGGAATGGTGGTTCATTGTAGTATAAAACAGACTATAAAATAGTAGGTAAAAATGCAAAGAATATGATCTGAAGAACTAAAGTAAGTGATTGCATTAGTTCATAGTGATTGCCTAAGATAAATTAAAAAATAATTTTCTGGGTACTTAGTAGGTAGATATATGTATGGAGTGTGTGAGATATTTTGATACAGGCATGCAGTGTGCAATAATCACATCAGGGTATGGGAGTAGCCATCACTTCAACACATTTCTTTGTGTTACAAATGCATTTATTTGTGTTATAAATACATTTCTTTGTGTTATGAACATTCTCAGATAAATTTTTTAATGTTCTTTTAGATTGCTTGTATTTTCTGAGATTTATAATGAATGTGATTTGCTTTTATAATAAGAAAACAAGCTCTTTCCCTGCCGTCGCCAAGTCATGCGGAGGTGGAGGCTTGGGTGCGTTCAAGATTTGGCTTCACCCGTAACCCACAGCCATGGCTGACTCAGTCTTCGCTGAGTCCAAGGCCTTATGCGGTATGAGGCTTTGAACTGATGGATCCGATGTAGTGTCGTGTTTCAGCATTGCTGCTGGAGGTGTAATGGATGTTAATACTGCTTTACAAGAGGTGCTGAAGACTGCCCTCATCCACGATGGCCTAGCACGTGGAATTCGAGAAGCTGCCAAAGCCTTAGACAAGTGCCAAGCCCATCTTTGTGTGCTTGCATACAACTGTGATGAGCGTGTGTATGTCAAGTTGATGGAGGCCCTTTGTGCTGAACACCAAATCAACCTAATTAAGATTGATGACAACAAGAAACTAGGGGAACGGGTCGGCCTTTGTAAAATTGACGGAGAGGGAAAGCCCCATAAAGTGGTTGTTTGCAGTTGTATAGTAGTTAAGGACTATGGCAGGGAGTCTCAGGCCAAGGATGTCATCGAAGAGTACTTCAAAAGCAAGAAATGAAGAACTCAATATTTGGCTCACATTAAAAAAAAAAAAAAGTGTGTGTATGTGTGTGTGCGTGTGTGTGTGTGCGTGTGCGTGTGCGTGTGTAGTGCTGTGAAGTAGAAAACCCTAAAGATGGAGACATACATTTAGCTTTCTTATTAGTCATGAATGACTGTGTAGCTATCTGTTCCATTCTGTTGTCAACACCCACACCCAGTCCCATGACTTTAAGGCTTCATGAAGGGCAAGGGAGGCAAAGAACTAAGCTCACTGCCTTAGGAGCCTGGCAGCAACTCAAGAACTATGGTTTTGTTGATTCCTATAACATTAAGTCCCTTTAGGGATCTCAAGAATTTTTAGCTAGAAGAGAAAATAAAAATAGAATTGAGATGGAAAGTATCTACTGAAGGCCACTCAAAAGAAAAACCATGTAAAATGTGAGGGAAATTTAGCAGTTTCAGGTCCTTCTAAAAAAATGAACTATTGCTTTTAAAGCCTTTCTATGAATATTGGTGACTTAGCATAATGCATTTTCAAAAAAACAGGACCTTGTGATTGTCACAAGTTCCTCAAGTAATTAGAAACCAGGAAATTTACTCTTGTGTAAAACAGTCCATGAGTCAGTTAAACAAGCCTAGTAATGAAGCTGTCAAATTCAGTGCTATTCTTGTATCAGGTGACTTCCTTGATAATTGAAATATTTTCTGAAATTTGTTTACCTTGAGCTAAGTAAAGCAAGTTGTATGTCCTTAACAAAATTATCTTTTATTCCATTGTTCAGCAGGTGTGAGAGTAATTCAGCTTTTTAATTATGTGTGTAATACTAATAAAAGGGAACATTAATATTGTAAATTTAAAAATCTGGCTGGGTGCAATGGCTCACGCCTGTAATCCCAGCACATTGGGAGGCTGAGGCAAGTGGATCACTTGAAACCAGGAGTTGGAGACCAGCCTGGCCAACATGGCGAAAGCCTGTCTCTACCAAAAATAAGAAAATTAGCTAGGCTTGATGGTGCATGCTTGTAATCCCAGCTACTTGGGAGGCTGAGGCAGAATAATCACTTGAACCTGGGAGGTAGAGATTGCAGTGAGCCAAGATCATGTTACTGCACTCCATCCTGGGCGACAGAGTGAGACCCTGTTTCAAAAAAACAAAAAAATCCCCAGGTAATTAAAGAGAGAAGATAATTTACTGGTTTTAGGAAAGTGGGCAGCCTTAGAAACAAGTTAGACCAGGAGAGTAACACTGAGTTATTAGACACCTTCTCCTTTTCCTTTTTTTTTTTTTTTTTTGTTTCTTTTCTCTTCTTCCCCTATCCTCTTTACCTCTCTTTTTTCTTCTTTCTTTATTCTTTTCCTTCTTTTGTACAAAGAGAGAACCTAATGTGCCGGAGAGTTGTTTTAGGCACTAGGGGTTATGTCAATAAATAAAAATGACTCTGCTTGCATATACTTTATATTCTAGTAGTTACAGATAATATATAAGCAAATGTATATAAAATACTGTATGGTATTAAGAGCTATGAAGTAAAAGGAGGGCAAGGGAGAGAGTATAACTGGGCAGGTGGTGGGGTGGACAGAGGGGAGAGGGTCCAATTCAATTCCATTTTTTGATTTTGTTTAAAAACTGAAGGCCTCTCATTTGAGGTGACATTTGAGCAGAGATCTGAGTGATACGAGGGAGTAAGCCAGCCAGAAAAAGAAGCAAGTGCAAAGGCCCTGCAGTGGGAGGAGGCCTGGGGGTCCAAGAACATGAAGGAGGCCAACGTGGCTAGGGGAGGTGGCAGTAAACGAGGTCAGGCAATGGGGAGCTAGGTCGTGTAGGGCCCTGTTGGCTACAGTAAGCTCTCATCTGAGTGAATTTGGAAACCTGTGGAGAAGTTTATTATAGCAGCTAGTAGTATGTTAATACAAATATTCGTATTTATTTGTGTACCATTACGTATTTAATTCCTTTGTACCTACAGGTAATTCAAGTAGCAGATAATATGACTGTGTTACTACATATGGGTCTCATTTCAATAATCAATAATGCATATGGTAATTTTAAAAAATATATATATTTTATTGCATTTTAGGTTTTGGGGTACATGGTAATTTTTTTAAAACCACATTTTTGAGATTTTCTCTTATTGCTGGACTGCTTGGTAGTTTTGTCCTCCTAGAATTTGCTAGCAAATAAGTAAGGTGACAAAAATTTCTTTATTTTAAAATAATGATAAGAAATCATTATCTTAGTCATTTAAGTTTATAGTTCAGTAGTGTTAACTAATTTATATTGTTGTGAAACATATCTCCAGAACCTTCTGATTTTGCAAAACTGAAACTCCACTCATTACATAACATCTCTGCTTTTCCTTTTCCCCTCGACAGGCATCATTCTCCTTTCTGTCTCTATGAATTTGACTAGTTACTCATAGAAGTGGAATCACCAGTATCTGTCCTCTTGTGACTGCTTATTTCACTTAGCATAATGTCTTCAAGGTTCAATCATGCTGTAACATGTTAGAGCTTCTTTCTTTTTTAAGGCTGGGTCATACTTTGTTGTATATAAACATCACATTCTGTTTATCCATTCATCTGTTTGGTGGACAACTGGTTGCTTCAACTTGTTGGCCATTGTGAATAATGCTGTTATGGAACTTAACTGTGCACCCACTAGAGAGTTTTGACAGAGTGATAGGATGTGATCTGATTTATGTCCAAAAACATTCACTCTGGTCCTTCCCTTCCCTCACTAAGTGAGACTTAGTGTTTTTTTTTTCTGCTGTGTTTCTAATGCTCACAAACAGTGTCTTGCACATAGTGGTCATGCAGATATTTGAAGAAATAAATGACAGAGCTAAACACAGTGAGGCAAACTCCAGAGGCCATCATGTCAACTCAGACATATATTAGGGCAATGGGCCTTTGCTATTTGTGGATCACAGACCTCACTGAAAAATTGATGAAAAATATGGAACTTTCCTCTGGAAAAAAACAGTTTTTTTCTCCTTTACTATACTTTTACTCTCTCAAAACAGAATACTTTTGTGAGTTCTGGTCACCAAGAAGTGTGTGGGGATTTCTCCCCACCAGCAGCCTGTTCTCTGGTAGATTCTTTAGCGGACACCAGCTGCATGTCCTCTAATTCAGTCCCATTCTGATGCTCTCTCTAGACCCCACAGGGTGAGAGAGCTCAGCCTCACACGGCTGACCCCCACTTTGAGCACCAATCTCAAGTAACGGGTTTTCACTTATACTTCTGACCCTTCTGCTCTAAATTAGGGTTCCCCCTACCCCATCCTCTGATTTGCTATAGTGGCTCTCAACTCAGGGAAACACTTAGGTTTACTGGTTTATTATAAAGGGTACTACAAAGGGTACAGATGGGGAGATGAAGAGATGCATAGGAAAGGCACGTGGGAAGGAAAGCGAAGCTCCCATGCCCCCTACAGGCTCACCACCCTCCAGGAGTCCTCATGTGTTCAGCGCTCTGGAAGCTCCCCGAACCCAGTTCCTTTGCTTTTTACTGAAGCTTCATTATGTCAGAATGACTGAATAAATCATTGGTTACTGGTGATCAACTCAGCCATCAGCCTCTCTCCCCTCCTTGGAGGTTGGGGTTGGGGCTAAAAGTCTCAGTCCTCTAATTATGCCTTCGTCTTTCCAGTGACCAGCCCCTTCCTAAAGCTACCGAGGGGTGACCAGCCTTCAATCATTAGTATAAAAAAGACACCCATCACTTTGGACATTTCAAGGATTCCAAGTTGTATGCCAGGAGATGGGGCAAAGACCAAATATATATTTCAAAATATCAAATTTCCCCAGAAAAGCAAACACACAGTTACAGATGGTTCAAGTTAAGATTTTTTAACTTTATGATGGTGCAGAAATCGTAACACATTTAGTAGAAACTATACTTTTGAGTACCCATACAACCATGTTGTATTCAACAAATTAGACAAAATATTCAATCAACACTTTATCATAAAATAGCTTTGTGTTAGATGATTTTGCTCAACTGCGGGCTAACTTAAGTGTTCTGAACCTTAAGAAGGTAGACTAGGCTAAGCTATGATGTTTTGTAGGTTATGTGTATTAGGTGCATTTTCACCCTATGGTATTTTTAGTGAGCTTATCGAGATGTAACGCCATCATAAGCAGCAGCTGTATACTAAAATGTTTACCTACAAATCAGTGGGTTCTTCACTTGATTTTCATAGAAGGACTTCATGCGTAACTAGGGCATTGACCGTTCTTATGGGTAGATTGGAGTATTCATCCTACAGTGATACTAGAGATAGAGATTCAATTCCTGAGCAGGCAGTGTTGCTTTCTACAAACTGCACAGCTTTCACAACTTTCATCAGCCTTGTTTCACAGTAGGGGAAAGGTTTGCCTAGCCTTAAACAGTAGACCTGATTCCATGTCTCCTATATCTGGGTTCCTACTTCCTGGCTACTTCTGGATACACAGACAGGAAGACTATGGCTTCAGCCCTTTTATTGTACTGCAGCATTTTTCTGTTCTGTTTCTGGGCCACAGAGATATTGATTTCTTTAAAGTGGCTGTATCTAAAAAACACTTAAAATTTTTATCTGTTAGCGGGGCACAGTGGTGGCTGATGCCTGTAATCCCAGCACTTTGGAAGGCCAAGGCGTGCAGATCACCATGTCAGGAGATCAAGACCATCCTGGCTAACACGGTGAAACCCCGTCTCTGCTAAAAATACAAAAATTAGCTGGGTGTAGTGGTGCGCAGCTGTAGTCCCAGCTACTTGGGAGGCTGAGGCAGGAGAATTGCTTGAACTTGGGAGGGGGAGGTTGCAGTGAGCTGAGATGGCACCATTGCACTCCAGCCTGGGTGACAGAGACTCCATCTCAAAAACAAAAAACAAGAAACAAAAAACTGTCGTTTTCTGGATTATGTTTAGTGTGTGATGACAGTTTCAGAGGGTGAACTCACAGCACCCTGGGACTGAGCAGCCTCTTCTTGCTGGCTACTCACTAAGCCAGTATATGAATTAATAGAAT